TTTCACATTTGTTACTTTATAATAAAAATTTATTCACATTTGATATTACGTTTCAGTGTCAATTCAGACCTTACGCGCACCTCGTCAGCCTTTTTTAGCGCACGCGCAGAACTCCAACGGCATTTTTAACGCGCGAGCGCTCCCCCAACCACGCCATTTTTTACGCGCGAGCGCTCCCTCCAACCACGCCATTTTTAACGCGCGAGCGCCCCCCCAATTCAGCCACGCCATTTGCGCGAGCGCTCCCCCAAGCACGCCATTTTTTGCGCGCGCGAGCGCCCCCCAAATCAACCACGCCATTTTTAACGCGCGAGCGCCCCCCCAACCACGCCATTTCTGCGCGCGACACCACTAATCAACCTGACCTTGGCGCCCAAACCCACAAAATAAACCAGCGTTTGCGCACCAGCCGAAACCCTAACTACGCCATTTTTAGCGCGCTGCTCATTGGTCCTTTTGACTCATGACCCATCCATTAAATTCATTTCTCACACACCATCATAACTCATTTGCCGCTACATGTCAACAGCGCCACACTACGCGTCACTTTCCGTTTTGCCTTATTTGGACAACACCGGATGTGTGACGTCATACTTTGATGGCTAACTACCGCTGACTTGTACACAAAAAAGGCAAATGCTGCCATCTGATTGGTCGAGAGAGTGCCACATCATTTTTTCCTGGCTCCTGATTGGCTACTGCCCCTAGGAGCGTCGTATACTACTACCTAGAAAATGCAAATTCCGAAAAACGAACGAGTGAGACTGGGACAGCGCTACTCGTCCGGAAACCTTGAGTCAGGAGATCCCTGATGTAGGACAAGATTCAAATTCTTCTTCTCTTTAACTTATCAGCGTTGTTCTTGTAATCGTCCCAACTATAATTGAAAAGGCACAGGTTCCCTTTGCCTTTTGTTTGGAAAGTTTCAATCTATAAGGTAAGATCACACGGGATTCCGGGAAAGCGAGGTACTTCCGCTTTCGATTTTCTCAGCTGAGATACGGAGATAGTTCGTCCCACATAATTTAGAGCTCGAACCAGCATCGGTAGGTATATTTTGCAGGGTGCAGGGTGCAGGGTGCAGGTTGAAATGTAATTATAACTGGAAAACCGCTGGCACTAAAAATAATTAATAACCTATATACTTGTCAGGGGTTCTTACATAAAGTAGTTCGCCTCTTTCACATAGTGAAAACACGATCGATCCGCTATAAGTACTTATCGATCGACACGCAGAGACCATTGAAATCTCTTCAAAGCCATCTGGATGGCCGCGCCATAGATGTTTCCATCGATTCCAGGTTTGGCTCGGGTCTTCCATCAACAACAGAAGATTATCATCACAAATGAAGCAAATAAACAAAGAAATGAAATAATATAGGATTATATATATTATAAAACCGACGGAATATACTAGCACAAGCTCAGTGTGGTTTCATTTTGGTGCTCACAGGGAAGAAACCAAATTCAGCAGATATTTCATATGATATTTCAGATGTTTGTTCAAAAACAATAATTCATTGCCGGCTTAAAATCATAGGAATATACTCTCCTCCCATCGCTTCGGCCGGTTTGGTATTTAGGTGGAAGCCATCTTACTGAGCGATCGTAAACAGATTCATGTAACAGTCACGGTAAGTCTACTACTTGTACCTTTCTTTTAAGTGTCAGCGGTTTTCCAGTTATAATTAAATTTCAACCTGCAACCTGCACCCTGCACCCTGCAAAATATACCTGCCGAACCAACATGGCCGAGACAATGCCTAACGTGGAAGGAACAGCTGGATCGTTGATTGTTCAGGTGGAAGGCGACATTCACATCGACGCGGCGTTAGTTTCTCGCAGTGTTTATGTCACTGGTTATAAATCGACAGCAGAACCGGAAGACCTAATGATTCATTTTATGAAAAGGAAAAACGGCGGCGGTAATATCGACAGCATCGTTATCAGTAAGCGAGGAGCAGCAGTAATAACATTTGACAGCCCTGAAGGTAAAATGGTTATGGCTAACTTGTGTCTTCAGTGTATAGAAGACTTATTCATAAACCTCGTGGCTGAGTATTTATACGCTTATCAAAGGAGTATGTTAATTACTTCGATATTCGTCTAGAGACTGAAAGTACGGTCAGGATGTCTTTCATCTTTAGTAGCTAGTAGTTTGTTTTGATTCGGGCTTTAGAAATGTCGTAGTATTTCAAGGATCATCTGATTAAGGCCCAGTTCAGACGTCGTGCTTCTGCCGTGCCGAACTAAATTGCAATTTGGTTCGACTGTAGCACGGCAGGAAATCAACTCTGATTCAGACGTCGTGCCAGAGTCGAATCAA